TCATGGTCCTGAGGGATTCCTGTGGGATCTTCATGGTCCTGAGGGATTCCTGTGGGATTTTCATGGTCCTGAGGGATTCCTGTGGGATCTTCATGATCCTGAGGGGTTCCTGTTGGATCTTCATGGTCCTGAGGGATTCCCTTGTGCTCCTTGAGGTTCCTGTGGGTTTTTCATGGTCCTGAGGGATTCCTGTGGGAACTTCATGGTCCTGAGGGATTCCCTCGTGCTCCATGAGGTTCCTGTGGGTTTTTCATGGTCCTGAGGGATTCCTGTGGGAACTTCATGGTCCTGAGGGATTCCCTTGTGCTCCGTGAGTTTCCTGTGGGATTTTCATGGTCCTGAGGGATTCCTGTGGGATTTTCATGGTCCTGAGGGATTCCCTCGTGCTCCTTGAGGTTCCTGTGGGATTTTCATGGTCCTGAGGGATTCCTGTGGGAACTTCATGGTCCTGAGGGATTCCTGTGGGATTTTCATGGTCCTGAGGGATTCCTGTTGGATCTTCATGGTCCTGAGGGATTCCCTTGTGCTCCGTGAGGTTCCTGTGGGGTTTTCATGGTCCTGAGGGATTCCTGTGGGATCTTCATGGTCCTGAGGGATTCCTGTGGGATCTTCATGGTCCTGAGGGATTCCCTCATGCTCCATGAGGTTCCTGTGGGATCTTCATGGTCCTGAGGGATTCTCTCCTGCCCCTTTGGATCCCCCGGGCCCCCCGTGAGGGCCCCGAGCGATTCCTGCCCACACCATGCTGATTTCTCTGCCATTCCCAGATTTCTCTGAATTCCCGGATTTCTCCAGAATTCCCAGATTTCTCCGGAACTCCCAGATTTCTCTGCCACTCCCAGATTTCTCTGCCATTCCCAGTTTTCCCCGCCATTCCTGGTTCTCTCTGCCATTCCTGGATTTCTCTGAATTTCCAGATTTCTCCGTAATTCCCCATTTCTCCGGAACTCCCAGCTTTTTCCAGAACTCCCAGATTTCTCTGCCATCCCCAGTTTTCCCCGCCATCCCTGGTTTTCTCTGAATTCCCAGATTTCCCTTGAACTCCCGGATTTCTCCGGCATCCCCAGGAATCCCAGTTTTTCTGTGCATCCCGGTTCCCCCCAGCATTCCCAGTTTTTCTCGGTGTTCCCGGTTTTGTAGGAATCCCAGTTTTTCTCTGCATCCCAGTTTTCCCCCAGCGTTCCCAGTTTTTCCCGGTGCTCCCGGTTCCCCCCGCTGTTCCCAGTTCCCCGCACCGTTCCCATTTTTTCCCAGTTATTCCC